TTTTCTTGTCGCTATCATAGTGAAAAATGTAATACATCGAAAATGTACAGAAAATATAGTTCTCGTAATCCGTCATATCGTGGGCAGCTATTTTGATCCACCTGGACATCCCAGTATCCTAGTTACCTCGGGCATGCGCATTCGCATTTTTCTGAGTTGGAACGCTTATGCGAGAGCGAGATTGTGACGGGATCTTGGTATCATGTCACCGTAGTTACAAACCCCAAGTAATGTACCTCTGATGAGACCCATATATCTCGAGCATGTGTGGCGCGATGACTACCGCCCTTTAAATCCAATCAACTACATATAATTGTAAACAAGTATCCCTAGCTTATTCTTTTTTTACATACCTGGTAAGCATTCACAGATATAGGTACCATCAATTTGTGTTATACACCTTGCATCATTCAGGCACTGACTGTAAGTGGTATCACACGGATCAAACGTTGTCTCACAGTCCTTGCCAGTGTAGAAAGGCACACATTGACATGTATATTGATTAGATCCTTCAATGCATGTACCGCCATTCAGACATGGATTTGAGTGACATTCTTTGATGTCATCAGCACAGTTTTTACCATTCCATCCAGCCAGACACAAACATCTATAATCAAGTTAGAATATTGAATTTAAGAAACACCTTCATCACATACACACATACCATCACAGGATGTCACCTGAATGATAAGATGGGATAAATGGGTTCAACTTACTTATGTCAAAGGGATAAATGGGTTCAACTTACTTATGTCAAAGGGATAAATGGGTTCAATTTACTTATGTCAAAGGGATAAATGGGTTCAATTAAAGGGATAAATGGATTCAATTTACTTTTGTCAAAGGGATAAATGGGTTCAACTTATGACAAATGAATAAATGGTTCAACTTACTCATGTCAAAGAGATAAATGGGTTCAATTAAAGGGATAAATGGGTTCAACTTACTTGTGACAATGGGATAAATGGGTTCAACTTACTTGTAATCTTCAAATAAATCAATACATGTAGCTCCATTTTGACATGGTAGTGACAGGCATTCATCTTTATCAATCTCACAGAAATCACCTTCCCAACCGTCAGGACATATACAGCTATAGGCCAGGTGAAGATCTACACAGGTTGCACCATTCTGGAAGTTTGAAAAGGTGAATAAGTAAACATATAAATGATATGCAATCATATATCAGTATAGACTTGTTTTGTAATTATCACCCTCCAACAATTTTATAGAGATGCAAAATGGGATTTTTGAAACAAAGCAATACTTAGTATATAGAAATTTGTCAAGGATGTGGGAAACATAATCATGTAGGCAAATTATAATTCAATATTCATGATCCTGATGCAACATTTGAATGAAATCAAACTGGCATATTTGATCGAATGATAAAAATCAACATGCATATGTAAGTAACCATACATGTTTTTTGTATTTAGTTTTAATAATATCGATAAAAGTATGTCTGACAAATAGGTCTAGTCGAAATTGATAGTTCTTGATTTATGGCATCATCGGAAATGGAGAGTAATAACTACAAGAGGAGATTACCCAAGTTAACAGCTTAAACTGACTTTTTTATGTTATTTTTACGGGCACTACT